CGCCCAAAACTGGGTGGAGTTTATGCCTCCCTGCCTGGAGTTTGGGTGACCCACCGCGGGTTGCTTGACTTTTAGGCCTTGAGTTGTTAAACGTGGAAGGGTCCTAACTTCCATCTATCTAAGTGCTAAACAGCTGAGGGGACAAACAGGCAGCAGAGTCGTCTCTGTTGGTGAATTTAGCTGCTACTCAATGAGGAGCAAGTTTCTGGGGGGGGGGGGCAGAGGCCAGGGGCTTGGGTTTTATTGGAGGGGGTGTGGGTGTGTGTGTGTCAGGGGCCTCCCCAAGGGGACACCTCTTTAATGATCCACTCTTCTGAGTCCTGAATGCATAACCTCCCACTGAGAAAATGCTCCCCAACTCTGGGGAGATGGGAAGAAAGCCGGGCCTTGCGCTGGACCCCAAATTCCTTTTCTTCCTCACCTGCAGGACACTGATCCAATTACAAACTCGAGAACTTTTAAGAAAAGCAAATAAAACCTCTACCCCTGGCAAAGGTCATCTGGCCTGTGGAGAGAGTAAATGATTAACTCTCCTGACAGTGAGATTGGAAGATTTTTTTTTTTTTTTTACAGCGTTCAAAGGTGCAACTAGAAAATTGTAGCCCAGGGCAAATTCTACCAGCGGCTTCGCCTTCCACCAGTCATTCCTGCGTCCCCTTCCCTCCAGGACCTTGGCCCAAGTGCAAGCAGCGAGTGGTCAAGTCAAGGGCAGAGGGTGAAGCCCTCCCTCCTCCCTGCAGCCGTAACCCCCCTTCCCCACCCCCACCCCCCCTTAGGACTAAAGCACAAAGCTGCCTCTGCCCAGCGGCAGGGCAGGGCCCGGAAGCTGTGTTCCTCTCTGGGTCTCCGAATACTCACGGGCAAGGGGAGTTTAGGAAGCCGGTCACCCACCTCGCAAGGTGTTAGGTGAGATAAAACAGAACGCACCCCCAAATGTGCCTGGCACCTAGGAAGTCTGCAAATCTGGGCGTCTTTCCTTTCCTGGAGCTTTTCCCGCCCGGATGCTGCGCTTGGGGGCTTACCGGGCAGGAGGGTCACCTCTGAGTTTCCGTTTTCACAGGTATTACCTAAGGAAGAGGAGAGCCCCTCAAGACCCCTTTTTGTGGGGGGAGCTGCCTAGCCCGCTGCTGCAGCCCGCGCAGGTGTCTGCAGGAGCCCTGGTGTGTGCTGGGGTGTCCGCACCCCACGAGAAAGAGGTGTCG